AAATGGTTGACGATTGCAGTTCGCTCGGTTTTGATGAATGCGGACGTTGACAGGCTTGTGCGAAATTCAAAATTCCAAATAACGGGCACGATGAAAGGTTATGGAAACTGTAGATAGGAAAAACGAGCGGATAAACAGCCCTTCGTTACAGAAATTTCAGTCATTTCGTTGGTAAAAAGTTAAATTGCACCGTGTTATCAGCAATTTGATTGACGGTCGCGTATTTGACGAAATCATTGGTCTTTGGGTAAAATTGTAATTGGGAAGTTTTGTAATATAATAATGGAACGACCCGATGCATTGTAAGAATAAAATTTGGATCAACATTTTCTTGTCATCGAGGAGAAACGAAGTGAATAAAGGTAGAGACGGGGGTTGTTTCCTTTAACATGCAAGCATAGATACACGTTAGTTTGCTGTTTTACATTGTTCAAGAGGGAACCGTCGACGTAGTCAAGTATGTCAACCGGCATTTCATAGGGAGAACAATGGTCGCAGCAGGCGCAGTGTAAAGTGACGATATAACAGCCCTGGGGGAACAAAAGCGATGCGGGTATACTTGTTTAAAACGCTTATGTCGATCTCTCGATTGTAGCTCCCGTCTCTCTACCTTTTACCGCTCTATTGCATTTTCCTCTGGTACGTTGGAAAATTGATATATGCATTCTCGCGACGACCCAACCGAGATTACCATTCGTTTCGTCTCTGTTCCAATTTCTGGCATCGTATGCCGTAAACTACTCGAAACAGATAAACCGTGTACTCTCGACCGTGTTCCCATGTCACGGAAATTCCTCGATTTATAGCCAATCTAATCGATATCGTATAAGTTCTTTTATTTGCTTATATCGTTGATACCTTTTTTTTTATATCGGGAGCTCGGGAGCATACGATTGCTCCTGTATTTTAACACTTTTGATAGCTGCTGATTTTGATATGTAACTTTTTATATTATCAGGATTTTTTATGTATGTATATTTGTACGTTTACAAATTATGATACGAATATGGATGGCTGAGTTACGTATAACATTCTGTATATTAATTATAAGAACGGTTAATAATGATTTTCTATCTGTTTACTTGAAAACTTTAACAATAATATTGTTGCTTCAAAGAGTATTCGATCACGCTTCGGTGGTAACATGGAACATCGTTTCATGAAAGTTTGATATAAAGTGGTAATTATAGTTTGTACGGTTGAAATGATATTACACCAAAATGAGCAGTTGATAAAAAGTTTTATTCGCTCTATAACATCTCTGGTGAAAAGTACGATTCGTTGAAAACATGAAATTTAAAGATGAAATTATATGGTAAAAATTTATTATCGGTGTACTTGAAACTTTTAGTTATGTTTCTAGCGGTGTTTCCAGTATATTTGCTGTTCAATATCATGTATTGTATTGTATTGAAGATTCAAGCGTAACCGTTGGCGGCTCGAAAACAGAGCCTTCGTCTACGATTTTTGTATGTTCGACCTGAGGGTTGTTAGATTCAAATTAAATTCGATCGTTGAATCTCGATTAGTAGCAGCAGTTGGAATCGAGCCGCCAAAGGAACCGTTTCTGTTATCCGGAAGTCCATCAGGCTCACTAGAAGAAGAGCGCGAGAGGCTCTGATAAGAAATAAAATCTACTGTTCGTTTGAAATTAAGAAAAATTTATTGAAACGAACTTTCCCCAGTCTCGCGGGCGGGTTTATTTTTTTTCTAATCGAAACGGTTCGATCATACTTGATCGCGACGATACATTTCAATTTTGATTATTCAAATATAAATATATGGAAGGAATGAAAACGAATTGGGTGGAGGAAAAATCGATGAAAGTTTACTCGTTATTTTTCTCATCGGGCTGTATCGAATGATGCTGGCGAAATTTTGCAAAATACGAAATTTCGAACATGCTGAATCGTATAACCAGAATATCGACGCTGGAACAAATACCTTTAGATAAAAGCTTTTCGAACTGAACGAAAAATCGAAAATACATAGAAAGCTTTCATTAAAGTTGCGTAATAGAGCTGAACTATTGTGCAAATATTTTTAACCGGTAATTCCATTGTTTATCCTGTTTCTTATATTTATTACCAAATTATTCGCATCAGTTTACAAAAGGTATTATTATTTCTCAAAATTAAACAAATTATGTTTAATTAGAAATCTTCAATGTGATCACAAGGGAAAAGTTTAAACATTAATTATCAACAAAATCCTAGCAAAATCACATTGCTGCACAATGTTCTGTTTATCAGTATTTCTACCATTCGCGCCAATTCACGAAACAAATTAATAAACGGCTAATTAACCGGAAGATTTTTCGGCCTGTATCCCGATAATCGAGGCTTACCGCTTCAATGGTGCGGAATGAATAGTTACAAACGACCCGGTGTGTGTGCTTCGAAAAAGTTGCTTCTGGTAATCGACATTTTATTTGTGCGATGTGTATCGTTGTACTGAAAACAATATTTAATAGAAGTAATCAATAGAACGATTGTATAGTGAAAAATAATTAAAAATAAATTGAATCTTTTGAATTATTCCAGCGTAATTCAATAACAATTTTGTAAAACATGATTACAGTATAGCAAATAAAAGTTTGAGATTGCATAATGATGTTTTTAAATAATAATTATGTTAATTAACATCAGAAACAATTGTGGCGTGGTTCTCAAGTTGAAGGTACGCCTATTGTTTTCTGATTAGACATTTGCATATTCTCACAGAAACACGTTTGAATATGATAATTTACGCATTCGAGAAAATAAGTCTAATTTTCAATAATTTAGTTATTCACATTCAGAAGGTTTTCACCCTCTTTGACTTCAGAAAAACCCAATGGCTTTGGGTTAAAGGTCTTCTCTTGTTATTAGGAAGGTCTTTTTGATTAAAAAGAAAAGAAGAGTGATATTTTATAAGTGATCGATAATTAGTAGAATGGAATTGTCTTTGGTCTTGTACCATTTCGCTTTACGTGCCATTAGAGGATCCTAATTTTGTTCGTCTCACGGAAAAGCAGCTAGCTGATACGCGCTCTCGATCAATTCGAACGATAAAAGTTAAGTCGAACGAACCAGTCTCTCTCTTTCTATTTCCTCCGCGGATCGCCATAGTTTCCGGAAACTCGAAATCCTCGAAATCTTTGGGAGCGTCGTAACAATGGAAACGTTTTAGCTCGCGGCCCGGTCCAATTTTCGAAATTATTTTCTACGACGATCATCGAACCGGCTGACTTCCTATCCCGAGCGTCTTGGAACTTTCTATTGAAAGAACTGAACGTTCTAGTTGCTTGAAAGAAAATCGAATTGTCTTCGTTCCTTAAAAAACTGTACTGCCCGGACTTTTATATCGATTGCATAAATGTACACTTTGATGTGAGGAATATACTTCGTTGAGATTTCATTAATAAGATTACGAATATTTTCTTCGACTTAAAAATCTTAATTAATCACCCCAACGTCTTAGATTTTTTTAAACAAGTTCTTTGAACGAAGCTTTTCAGGATCTCGAGGTCTTTATTAACAAACTTAAACAGGATATTCGAATGTAATTAACTCAAAGAAAGCTAGAACTTTGAAGTTTACTGATTGAACGTTAATACGGTTCGGGAAATATTCTGAATCGTTATAATATGATACTTGAAAAGTTATCGAAGTCTTTTATTCGAAACAGTTTCTCGAGCACAATTATTTAACATACTGATTATTAATTATATACGTTAATTTAATATCTTTTTTCTGTTTCAGGTGAGTGCCTTATCCTGCCTTTTCTGCAGATATTTTATGTAAGTTTCATAATTTTATTATTTCTGTTGGGAAATTTATGTCATAATAATAAGGTCAATAGAATTTAAACATAACGCGTTTATTGCTACAAGAAGATTACGCGTATCATTTTGATTTAAATAATAACAGGAAGTATTTCAATATGGCATTTAAATATTTTCTCACACGTGTCGTGCTACGCTACGTGGCATGCAACGTATTAATGAAAGTGCATTCTGCCTCTATTTTTTAATCGAATTGATTATCATTTAAATAAGGCAATATTCATATAAGCTAGAACCGTGTTCACTGTTTAGAACTTCCGTTCTGCAAACTTTTCCTTGTTTATTGAAATGTACGATGATGTTCATTTCTACTCGACGAGTATGAAATTGTAAAAAAGCCTTCTGAAGTAAAAAATATTTCATTTCTCGTGTTTTTTTAATCATCTCTTTCATTCGATGCATAACGTGAATAACGAAGCAGTAAAAGCTGCACTGTGATACTAATATATTATGCGCCAAATGTAGTGATGTAAATCTTCATAAATATGGTCGTTAAAACGACCTAATAACTTGTAACATATCGTCGAAGCGTTAATTGCAGATAAATTTGCATCTAAAATCGTCCGTAACGAAATTATATGTACAATTATAGCGAGTCATTTAATCGACGCTGTTACTTACTCGTTGATCAGTATAAATGTACAGTGCTATTAAATAATTCTTTTCCCCCTAAAAGCAACAGTAGCAAGTACATTTAAAACGGTAGAAAGATCATTGAAAATATTTTTAGTATTTGTAGTATTTTGTATATAACACGAAATACCGAATTTAAATAACAGTAGTATCTTTTAAGCTCACATATAATATCACTGTTATTCATTAACACATTAATTACTATTTGCAATTTCATACTATTCGTAGTTACTTGTATTATACCAGTAAAACAGTTTTAATTGAAATTTATCAGTAAAATGTTCCATGGAATATTTTATTGATTTTAATTCAAAATCACTATCACAATCATTGACGAGTGACTTCAGTTCAGTTCAAAACGATTCACTCCACTTTCTTAGCGGGCTTCACATACGTATTCTGATAGAAATTGTAAAACAGAACGAAATTTATAAGAAGATTCACTATCGCTATAACGGACGGTGTCTTAATTGCATTACAGTGTGGCATAAACACTTGTATTGCGTATGCTATCAGGACGATGAATTGCACCTGTGGCAAAGAATGAATATGTAAACAAATTAAACATCACAAATATATGTGGTAAAGCTCAAAAGTTTCTGGTATCTTCTTGAAATAATAAATTATCATGCGTCGGACTGAACGTTGATATTTCTACTATGACAGTGAGGCCAAAAATCTTTCGAACCTTACTTTAACTAATTTATTAGTACTCGCCATTTGTGTGATAGTTATCAGTGGTTTGATTGGATTAAGTATCCTCTGCGATTTTTCTCCAAACGAACTCAATAAATAATACGAGTACATGATCACATGTACGGTACTGTTCACTAGCATAGGGAATGATGCTCCTGCGACTGGGGTGTATCTCGTTACAGCCCAACAGATTAAAGGTGTTGATACGTGATGGTAAAGGTGTAAGAATGAAATTTGTCTCTTCTTTTTCCTCAGTACGAACACTCCTGTTTCGAGGAGGTCAACGATTTTGGTCAGTATCACGAACCATTCTAGATAGAGCACCTGAAAGTTTGTTCAAATTCCAACTTTTAAACCTTTCTGGATTCAGCGTATTAACAATTGAACGGGAATTATGAATTTCAAATACCTTCATGTTCTTCGGGGTGTTAGAGTAATCTGCTGTTTCGCAAAATACCGTTATTTCTGTGAACCAACCCGCACTGATAAACTGTTGCACTATGATTGCATTGCTGACGATTTGAAAGATGTTATACCACTTTATAAAGGTTTTAAGATTGTACGGTTTTCTGTCCTTCATAAACTTCGGCCCACATTTTAAGACAAAGTATAAATAAGAAAAGAGGATAGCAGGAAGGGTAATGGGGGATTGCATAAACGGTAAACGGCACATTCTGGGATCTGAAATTACGATAACGGTCGTCTTCATTCAATGTTTTCACTGATAAATAATTCGTCATTTTATGGAGAGCACTACTCACCGGCTTTTTGATACCAGTAATAATCAAACATTTCTACCAAATCCATCTTTGACGATTTTTGTTTTCACTTTATTAAAAAATAAGAGGATTAACTGATTGATGTATTGGTTATTGACGACACAGATTTACGTTCCTAACAGAATCTTTGTAGAACGTTAGACGCTTAAAAGATACGGATACGTATTCGGCTATGAAATTAATTATCGATCCCGTACGTTACGATCGAAGCTTAGGTTCGCGTCGTGTGACCCTTTCGGTATAAACCACTCGTATTTATGAAGAAAAATGTACACGCATTTCCGTATACGTGGCGACTTCAGCATTCTTCGAATTGAAGTTCATTGTATGTATATATTTTTCTGTGAGTGTTAGGAATAGCAAAACAGTTTCACACTTTTCAAGGAGTAGTATACACAGACGGAAATTACAAATTTTTGTTTTTCATTAGATTTGTTGGTAATTACACTGTCCAACAAATTTTAACTTTTTTTCTGTTTTTCGATTCCCACTGGGTGATTCTTATAGTGTTTCGTACGCTGATTACGAATCTACAAACGATTTTGTTCCTATACGTACAGTTTTTGGGAAATTTGATTTTGAAAAAAAAACATATTTTTCAGATTTAAACAAATTTTCTGACGTAATTATAAAGGATATTGAAATTCTATTTACACTAAAAGATTCTGTAGACTTGCCTGAATACAACGATACCCATGTTTAATACATTGGAGATGTTTAAGTATGTTTAAACGATCATGGAACTCGGAGGGACCCCGATTTGGCAACAATTTTTTAGGATATTTTTCAATTTATCTGAAAAAGTAGAGGTCCAGCGTAAAATCGAATTATACCACGCGATAGAGCAGATTTTTATCTTGAAAATCTACCCAGAAAAAGTTGCAAAATCTATTTTTTTATCAAGCCAGAAAGTACAGACAGTGGCGCTCCGCGTCAGGACTTAAGGCAACTGCATTAGGCGGACGCCGAGGAACCGTCCAGACGCGGAGCGCCACTGTCGGTACTTCGTCTCCTGCAAAGCTATTTCGCTGTCTGGTTTGATAAAAAAATCGATATTGCAACTTTGTTTGGGTGGTTTTTCAAGATAAAAATCTGCTTTATCGCGTGGTATAATTCGATTTTACGCTGGACCTCTACTTTTTCAGATAAATTGAAAAATATCCTAAAAAATTGGGGCCAAATCGGAGTCCCTCCGCGTTCAATGATCGTTTAAACATATTTAAACATTTACAATGTATTAAACATAGGTATCGTTGTATTCAGGAAAGTCTACAGAATCTTTTAATATAAATAGAATTTCAATATCTTTTATAATTACGTCAGAAAATTTGTTTAAATCTGAAAAATATGATTTTTTTCCAAAATCAAATTTCTCAAAAACTGTACGTGTAGGAGCAAAACGGTATGCAGATTCGTAATCAGCGTATAAGACACTATAAGAATCACCCATTGAGATTCGGAAAACAAATTCACTGTTGGACAGTGTTATGTAGTAATACGGACCACCCTCCGATGATCCTGATATATGTATTCCTCACTAATTGTGAGCATATTCGTAAGTTATCTTTGAATATCCTTCTTGCTGTTGTTGATATTTCTTATAAATTTCAAATTGTACTTTCCAAAAATGAGTCAGTATACGATAGGTTATCGTACAAATAACTCGTTGAACTATCAAAAAATGAAATTTTACGAATTTCTCGCATTAACAACAAATTCCAACGAATTGTTAAATTATTTATGCGCAGAAAATGTTATTCGCGCAAATGTGAAGTGTTCGCGTCGCAATAATGTTGTAGAATTGACAGGTGAACAACCATTAATTATACATTATACACAACATTATTATAAACAAGTGCAAAGATGCAAGCGCAACGGACTAATTTGGTAATTTCAAAATTTGCGCTTTAACCGAGACTTGGTTTGCGCAAGGCCTTGTAAATATTGCTCTAAGTTGTCGATAATATGCTACTGCCGTTGATTCAAAAATACATTGCTCCTGGGTCGATAATCTACTGCGATTTTTGGAAAGCCTACATGAAAATCGACAAAAGAAATATGCCAACATAGCGTAGTCAACCATTCTCACAATTTTGTTGATTAAAATACGGGTATCCATCCCCAAAACGCTTATGGAGAGATATTCGCGCAGATATTCAACAATATGGTCGTAAAGAGTGCCATTTTAATCATTATTTAGCTGAAATTATGTTTAATAATAAAAAAGCATACGATTTTCATAAACGACTAGATGCATTTTACGAAATAATATTTATTATATATCCTTTAACAGAAAATATAAATGAATAAATGTTATAGTAATTATTATCGTTTGTAAATATTTAGATTAATGAATTCACCTCCAATCGCCACGGGTTCAGTATGAGATCAAATATTAAACTTATTATTATTATTATTATTATTATTAAAACCATACATAGATGTGATAGGTTAGGTTAGGCTATATATTTAAATCCAGCCGCCTTACGGCGACCGGCAACGCTTTCCTGAAATAATAGTGTTGTTTAAACAATAACGAAAGCGTTGCCGGCCGCCTTGTGGCCTTCTAACTGATCTTCTATTGGCTTGTACTTACACGTGTGACGACTTGAGCACAAAGGTGAACAATGACGTCAAAGCCACTAGCCCCGCAGATAATAGCATAGGGGGGGTACCTTTTTTTCGTGGGATTAGTGGGTTTGGATTTGTGGCGACAAGGTGCGAACTAGGGATACTACGTGTTGATCCCGAAGAAGAGGTGCGAAATACAATCACAATTATTCATTAACATATTAATTACTATTTGCAATCTCACATTAGTCGAGGTTTCTTTTATTGTAGCAGTAAAACATTTTTAATTCCAATCTATTATTTAAACCTAAGTACTATCTGTAGGTATGAATTTATCAGTAAAATGTTCGATCAAATATTTTATTGACTTTAATTCAAACTCACTACCACAATGATTGATGAGTGAGTTCAGTTTCTTTCAAAACGATTCACTCCACTTTCCTAGCGGGTTTCGTGTACGTACTTTTATAGAAACTGTAAAACAGAACGAAATTTATAATAAGATCCAGTATCCCAAGAACGGTGGTTGGCTTCAATTGATTGCAGTTTGGCATAAACGCTTGTATTGAGTATGCTATCAGGGCGACGAATTGCACCTGTGACAAAGAATGAACATGTAAATAAATTAAACGTCACAAATATATGTGGTAAGGTTCAAAAGTTTCTGGTATCTTCTTAAAATAATAAATTATCATGCGTCGGACTGAACGTTGATATTTCTATGACAGTGAGGCCAAAAATCTTTCGAACCTTACTTTAACTAGTTCATTAGTACTCACCATTTGTGTGATAGTTATCAGTGGTTTGATTGGATTAAGTATCCTCTGCCATTTTTCTCCAAACGAACTCAATAAATAATACGAGTACATGATCACATGTACGGCACAGTTCACTAGCATTGGGAACGATGCTGGTGCGACTGGGACGTATCTTATTACACTCCAAACTAATAAAGGTGTTGATACGTGATGGTACAGGTGTAAGAACGAAATTTGTCTGTTCTTTTTCCTCAGTACAAACACTCCCGTTTCGAAGAGGTCGACGATTTTGGTTATTAACACGAACCATAGTATATAAACTATCTGAAAGATTGTTCAAATTTGAACTTTTAAACCTTCCTGGACTCAGCATGTTAACAATTGAACGGGAATTATGAATTTCAAATACCTTCATGTTCTTCGGGGTGTTAGAGTAATCTGCTGGTTCGCAAAATACCGTTATTTCTGTGAACCAACCCGCACTGATAAACTGTTGCACTATGATTGCATTGCTGATGATTTGAAAGATGTTATACCACTTTATAAAGGTTTTAAGATTGTACGGTTTTCTGTCCTTCATAAACTTCGGCCCACATTTTAAGACAAAGTATAAATAAGAAAAGAGGATAACAGGAAGGGTAATGGGGGATTGCATAAGCGGTAAACTGCTTATTCTGGGATCTGAAATTACGATAACGGTCATCTTCATTCAATGTTTTCACTGATAAAAAATTCGTCAATAATGGAGAGCACTACTCACCGGCTTTTTGATACCAGTAATAATCAAACATTTCTGCCAAATCCATCTTTGACGATTTTTGTTTTCACTTTATTAAAAAATAAGCGGATTAACTGATTGATGTATTGGTTATTGAGGACACAGATTTACGTTCCTAACAGAATCTTTGTAGAACGTTAGACGCTTAAAAGATACGGATCCGTATTCGGCTATGAAATTAATTATCGATCCCGTACGTTACGATCGAAGCTTAGGTTCGCGTCGTGTGACCCTTTCGGTATGAACCACTCGTATTTATGAAGAAAAATGTACACGCATTTCCGTATACGTGGCGACTTCAGTATTCTTCGAATTGAAGTTCATTGTATGTATATATTTTTCTGTGAGTGTTAGGAATAGCAAAACAGTTTCACACTTTTCAAGGAGTAGTATACACAGACGGAAATTACAAATTTTTGTTTTTCATTAGATTTGTTGGTAATTACACTGTCCAACAAATTTTAACTTTTTTTCTGTTTTTCGATTCCCACTGGGTGATTCTTATAGTGTTTCGTGCGCTGATTACGAATCTGCAAACGATTTTGTTCCTATACGTACAGTTTTTGAGAAATTTGATTTTGAAAAAAAAACATATTTTTCAGATTTAAACAAATTTTCTGACGTAATTATAAAAGATATTGAAATTCTATTTACACTAAAAGATTCTGTAGACTTGCCTGAATACAACGATACCTATGTTTAATACATTGGAGATGTTTAAGTATGTTTAAACGATCATGGAACGCGGAGGGACCCCGATTTGGCACCAATTTTTTAGGATATTTTTCAATTTATATATATTTAATTAAATATATTTATATATATTTAAATCCAGCCGCCTTACGGCGACCGGCAACGCTTTCCTGAAATAATAGTGTTGTTTAAACAATAACGAAAGCGTTGCCGGCCGCCTTGCGGCCTTCTAACTGATCTTCTATTGGCTTGTACTTACACGTGTGACGACTTGAGCACAAAGGTGAACAATGACGTCAAAGCCACTAGCCCCGCAGATAATAGCATAGGGGGGGTACCTTTTTTTCGTTGGATTAATGGGTTTGGATTTGTGGCGACAAGGTGCGAACTGGGGATACTACGTGTTGATCCCGAAGAAGAGGTGTGAAATACAATCACAGTTATTCATTAACATATTAATTACTATTTGCAATTTCACATTAGTCGAGGTTTCTTCTATTGTAGCAGTAAAACATTTTTAATTCCAATCTATTATTTAAACCTAAGTATTATCTGTAGGTATGAATTTATCAGTAAAATGTTCGATCAAATATTTTATTGATTTTAATTCAAACTCACTACCACAATGATTGATGAATGAGTACAGTTTCTTTCAAAACGATTCACTCCACTTTCCTAGCGGGTTTCGTGTACGTACTTTCATAGAAACTGTAAAACAGAATGAAATTTATAGTAAGATCCAGTATCCCAAGAACGGAGGTTGGCTTCAATTGATTGCAGTATGGCATAAACGCTTGTATTGAGTATGCTATCAGGGCGATGAATTGCACCTGTGACGAAGAATGAACATGTAAATAAATTAAACGTCACAAATATATGTGGTAAGGTTCAAAAGTTTCTGGTATCTTTTTGAAATAATAAATTATTATGCGTCTAAAAATCTTTCGAACCTTACTTTAACTAGTTTATTAGTACTCGCCATTTGTGTGATAGTTATCAGTGGTTTGATTGGATTAAGTATCCTCTGCCATTTTTCTCCAAACGAACTCAATAAATAATACGAGTACATGATCACATGTACGGCACAGTTCACTAGCATTGGGAACGATGCTGCTGCGACTGGGACGTATCTCGTTACACTCCAAACTAATAAAGGTGTTGATACGTGATGGTACAGGTGTAAGAACGAAATTTGTCTGTTCTTTTTCCTCAGTACAAACACTCCCGTTTCGAAGAGGTCAACGATTTTGGTTATTAACCCGAACCATAGTGTATAAACTATCTGAAAGATTGTTCAAATTCCAACTGTTAAACCTTCCTGGACTCAGCATGTTAACAATTGAACGGGAATTATGAATTTCAAATACCTTCATGTTCTTCGGGGTGTTAGAGAAATCTACTGGTTCGCAAAATACCGTTATTTCTGTGAACCAACCCGCACTGATAAACTGTTGCACTACGATTGCATTGCTGACGATTTGAAAGATGTTGTACCACTTTATAAAGGTTTTAAGATTGTACGGTTTTCTGTCCTTCATAAACTTCGGCCCACATTTTAAGATGAAGTATAAATAAGAAAAGAGGATAGCAGGAAGGATAATGGGGGATTGCATAAGCGGTAAACTGCTTATTCTGGGATCTGAAATTACGATAACGATCGACTTCATTGAATGTTTTCACTGATAAAAAATTCGTCATTTTATGGAGAGCACTACTCACCGGCTTTTTGATACCAATAATAATCAAACATTTCTACTAAATCCATCTTCGACGATTTTTGTTTTCACTTTATTAAAAAAACAAAACGGTTGAACTGATTGATGTATTGGTTATTGACGACACGGATTTACGCTCCTAACACAATCTTCGTAGAACGTTTGACGCTTAAAACATACGGATACGTATTCGGCTATGAAATTAACGCTACGTTACGATCGAAGCTTAGGTGCGCTCTGTGTGCCCTTTTCGGTATGACCCACTCGTATTTATAACGAAAAACGATACATTAAAATTCAGATTAAACGATTTGTTGTCATTATGTACATACATTTCCGTAAATCGTGTAGTTTTAGTTGTGTGTATGTACCCATACTACTAAACCCACAACTAGACCCACTCGTATTTATAAAGAAAAACGAAACATTAAAATTCAGATTAAACGATTTGTTGTCATTATGTACATACATTTCCGTAAATCGTGTAGTTTTAGTTGTGTGTATGTAAATTTCTCTGGGTGTTAGGAATAGAAAAACAGTTTCATAATTTTCGAGCGTAGTATACACGGACGGTAATTACAGATTTTTGTTTTTCATTAAATTTTTGTATTAAAAAATGTTTATCTTGAAAAGGCAAGTTTATAAAAATCGTAAAAGTATTTATCAAAAAGTGTCGAAAATCTATCGTGTAATTAAAATTTATATAAAATCAATGAAAAATTAGCATTCTCTATACATTAAATTCCCAGATTAATATTTAAAGATTCTCGTCAACATAATATTTCTTTCTAAACTGATTTGCATATGAATTAATTACATAGATTGACTCCGTGAACCTCTACTTCATTGATTATTCAATTGTTGCTAGTTAATATGCTGCATACACTGTCTCACATTGGTACGATGCGATACAATATTTCTTTTTCTGGTTGCTATTTTTCAAGGAGAAAGATTTGTTTTCTTTATAGAATATCTGCAAGGAAGTAATCAAGGAATTATCGTAAAGTTGGATCTGCGGATCTCCATGGGGAATATATAAGTATCACCGAGCGAGGTGATTTAGTCGATGGAAGGTATCAGGAGAAGAGAATCGATAGGAATTCGAACATTCAGTTTCCCTCAATTTCGCATGAAAGCGGGCGCGAGCCCCTCGAATCGTAATGAAAAAAGTTTAACGCGTCCCTTTACATCGGTTCCATTTTTATCAAGAATTAATACGGATTTGAGAGAAAGAAATTTTTCCTATAAATTTCTGTTTTCCTGTTCTCACAAAATATGTCGACACCATTGGCAAGATCCTCGATATCCCGGTATCCTCGAACCGAAATATCGAACACTGATCTCGTATTCAAAGAGTTTCTTTGATCTTTCGAACTTGGAATTTCCAATAATCGCGCGGAGCTTTGTCTTGTCAGCACGTTATCGGGGCTGAAAAGTCAACTGCTGGTTAAAAGTTTAAGAAAGGATCCTTGGGCAAGCCGTGAACCGAGAATCGAACGAGAGCAGTTTTGCTCGCTCGTGTTTCGTGCCCGTGAAAGTTGGCAGAGAGATGTATTAAGCATCGCTAATCGAGGTAAGTTAGTCGACAGGAAGGTAGGAAGAGTAAAGTGGTAACTCGGCTGGCATCGGGGGCAGCTCGCAAGGGCCAGGAAGAGCATTAGCTGGCCCCCAGAGCCTCCCGCTAAGTGCTGCAATTTATTTTATTACCCTTCACGTCCGCGTTTGGAAACCGTCAGTCCGTGCTTCCGATAGCAACTCGCGAAAATGTAATTTATCGATTAGCCGAAAAACTTCTGTCGGATTTCATTTCGACTCTTCGCGGTTCGTGAACGAAAATTCATTAGAAACGATATTGTATCGTTTCGTATTCACGAATAGCACGTGCCTACAGGATTACGTAACACTTGAAAAGTTGTTTTTAATTTCCCAGAAATACGCACACCGCATATATTGTCATTGATTATTCGACGTTTGTCTTATCAGCGGTCATTGTTTTTCATTGCAACTATCGCAGTTCGACGCGCGATAAACCGATAGAACTTTTCTCGGTTACCCAATACACGGAATTCTCGGGGCACTTTTTTCGGTTACCCAATACACGGAATGCTGACGAACAGGGGCGGGTGGCAATGGGGCGGCTTGTATCGACGAGGCGAAAACAGAGAGCGGGGTCGTTTTGCTGGCTGTTGTTGACACTTCGTTTCTGTCGACCTTCTCTCCCCGTTCCAGCCTCTTGTTCGCAAACGAGAAGTCTGATCGGATTTTCCTTTCAATTGTCTTTTGATTTACGGTGTCGCCGCTCTCTGAACAGCACCGCGGTGATGTAACGTGTATGTACGTTTCTGCTCGCTTGTCTTCGCGAACGGGGAGAGGTGGAAATGAGCATGAAAATAGAACGAATCGCGAGCGTGGCGAACGTGGAAAACCGGGTCATCCGATGAATCGAACCGTCGTTGTTTCGCCGCGATGATTATTGAGTAAATTTAGCGAGTTCGTGTGTCGTTTTCGTGAACTTGTTTCAATCGAGCTACGAGCAAGGATGTTCTTGCCTATCCGCGCGTAACTATCAAGCGAAAGTTGAAAAGGGAAAAAATAGACAATTACTATGGTTCGCGTTCTGAAAGAAGGTTGTTTCCTTAAAAACGAGGGAAAAAGAAAGGTAGAACGTTCTAACGATCGTTTAAGAAACATCGTTTAAAAGAAATGTAAGCCCGTATGTCGTCAGACTCACGTTTAAAGTGGGACGAAAGCAAAGTACCGGAAACGTGGGTGGTTTGCGCGTGACAGAACAACAGCGCGTTGAAAAGAAAAAGTGAAATTCCGTGTCGTGGAGCAATTCGACCACGATTCGTTGTGGGATTACCGCATTGCTCAGCGACACGTGATATAATTCTGTGCTGTTAATATGAAATAAATCCGACGATTTGACCATCGTTTTCCACTCGCGAGGCAGGACTTAAACATAACTAAATACGCCCGAATATGCCGTTTAAACGTGACGTTGTTTGTTCCACAGCTAAATGCATTAAGGGGCTTTAGAAAATAATTCTGTGTATATCATATTTGTGGTTTATAATTCGATCGGCTTTTATAACTATTCGAACTAACATTTCTGAATTTAAATTTCCCCTTCTGAATCAAGACCATTAGACGGACCTTTCAACTGTTTCCCTTATGAATTTTATACAGATACACAGTTTTATTATCGTTTGATATTCAATATTTATCGAAGCCAATGATAAAAGTAGGGTCGTAATATTGCTTCTTACTTACAAGACTAGAATACAATTGCTTCAACAGCGGCTCTTTATCCTTTCGTATCTGTATTTTCCTTTTTCACTTGGAGGGTGGAAACGTAACGACGACCACGAATTGCAAGAAAGCGTAATGGCAAATTAGACTCCGTAAATTTCCGGCTTTTATTATTCTTTTTCTTTTCTACCCAGAGGCCGAGGAGGCTCCAGTTATTTCGCGTAGGGATCTCGCGGAGTGAAATTACAAGCCGCTTCCGTTGGCATTTTAATATCAGAACGTTTCGTAATATTCCGATGCAGCGCGTTCATCGGTAGACAATATCGGTAGTAACGCAAAACGATTGCAAAAACAGCTGACGCAGAAGACGGCATCAATTTAAATGTAATGCAACCCGAGAGTCAATGGAAATGAAAACACTGGCAACAGCGAGCAACCGAATCGTTCTGTTTATTTGCGAATAGAATGAAAATTTCACCGATATCCGTCAATGAAAATATTGAACTTGTCATTTCCGCGATTTCAAAATATAAATCATAATCGTAGCGAAAATGGGGGCGGGGAAAAATCATAATCGCGATGATAAAAATTGAATAAAAGCAAATGAAAAGCTATTCTAACCAGTGCTTCAGTATTAAAGATAATTTATCAAAACCCTGGTATTGCTTATTCGTTTGAAACAGAATCGTTAGAGGAAAGATACTATAGCGAGAACAGCTTGTTCGAATAAAACTTTTATTTCGATTATTGCCGAAGTAGGAAGTCGTCGACGTTAGTTTCCTCCACGAAGTTTTATTTCTCAGATAAAGTAACTTTTAATTAAAAACTAATTTTTTTTTTAGACAAACATAGTATCATTGGGGCTAATATTAATTTCAGTATAAAGCAAACGCGAATGAAATACTACCCATGAGAATTCTTTTGAATATAAGGATTAATACAAAAATTTCAATTAAATGGATGAAATATAAAAAAATTGTTCTTTACATATGTAATGTGGAAATGGGAAAAATTAAATGTTGAAATTAATCAAGATCGGGTAGATTTAGTTGGCAGATAGGAAGGCAGAGGATTGCAAGCTCAATTGATTTCGAAAACGATTTTCCCCAAAAACGATTTAGATCTCTGGTAATCCCCGGGCTCCGGTTGTCGAAGGCAGGGAACAAGTGGAACAAACGGTTCCAGGTAGAAAAGCCACGTAGTCAGTGCAATTCTGCCAATCGACACTGTTTTTTTAATTTACCGCTATTTTCCACCCTCCTCTCCAAATTTTTTTTTTTTGTCTCCTCGCACGTTACGTTCCCTGTAACGAAATATCCGCAATGCTGAGCTTAATACACTGTTTCTTAATTAAGTAATTGAAAGGTAGCGTGACGTCGAACGAGCAAACCTATCAATTACACTCTCGATTGATTCGAGTGGTTTGTATCGGAACGTCAGTTCCATTGTCCCAGATACAAGAAGGAAACGAATGGAGAAAGGGGGTGAGAAATGGTGATCGAACGGACACAGAGAATATTGTCACAGTCGTGATAAAGGAAACTTAGTAAAAGGATTGATATTTATTTAGAAATCCTTACAGCCTTTTTAAATGCAATGAAATAATAAAAGGAAAAGAAAATATTTCGAATCAAAGGTGTTTCACACCTGTATTTCTACGAGATCTCTTTCCATCCAGGAATCTAGAAATAGAGAAACAAACTGGGGCAAAGAGAAATAGCGGGTTAGAGTAGTGCAAAATTCAGTGACACAACGATGCAATGGTGCAAAAAACAACACGGTCTACATTATGAGACGGGGAGAAAGAAAGAGAGAGAGGGGGGGGAGGAGGAAAGAAAAGTTAGAGAAAGAGAGTTGGTAGAGGAGGAGAATAGCGGAGCGGGGGATGATCGTCGTGGCGTTTGCGCCTGGGGTTGTCGAGGACAGCGCAAAGAGGGTGTGCAAGGGTGATCGGCGTAGGTGGCGGTGCACAGAGGTGGGAGGACAGGGAGAGGCGTGGAATTGGTGGAAGCAGTCAGTGGCTCGCCGCGCGCCACAACGACCGTGGGATCTAGTCGTTCAGTTTTTCCACTTGTTACTGTATCGTGCCCTTTTCTCGCCCACATCGTTCCCCTTC